AGAGCTTCAGTTTCCTCATTTATAAAATGTGGAAGGTTAAGCGAGATTTAGAAGGGTTCCTTTCCAGAACCTAAAATTGTCTGGTTCCATAATTTCACAGGGAAAAAGTTATTTACCAAAAAGAAGTTACTATTAATTTATACCTACTATCTTCTAGAAAATCATACTAAATGGGACCAATATACCTTCTTCTTCAGAATATTTTTTATTGTTCCCCTTTTTTCCTTACTAATGCAATACACATTTGGGGAAAAATGAGAAATATACAAAGCATTTTTTAAAAACAACCACCATAATTCCCCTATTCAAACACAGTCAAGTCAGTGTTTGATAGGAGATACCTCTCCTGACCTAGTTTTGAGGAAGACATGCTACTAAAGATCTCACAGTAAAATACAACTGGAAAGAACATGAATATAAATAATCTGAATTTCAGAATCTCAATAAAATGATAGACAGTAAAAGCGAATAAAATAAGACAGTAATGAAAGGTAAATAAACAACGACAGCTGAAGACAACACGGTTTCCCTGAATGCTGACTAGTGGCAACAGACTCGGTATCCAACAGGCAGCCTTTCCTGTCACCCCCGTTTATAATAGGTGACTGTGGTGTTACCCCCTGAAGACTTTTTACTTGTTTGTCATAGTACTCTGCATACCCACAATCACGGAATTCACACCTCACAGGTCCTTATTTAATGCTTCTTTTCCCCCACCAGCCTAATCAGCTCATGCAAAGATCGTGTTTTCTTCATGCACCAGTGAGTCCCCAGTAGAACACCTCACACACTGGGGGATATCAATTAACATCTGCAGAGTAAATAAACAGTCTTGGTCTATACCAGCTATTCCTGACGGCTACTTTTACCATTTTCAGGTGAACCACTAGGTAAGGGAAGGACAAGTTGAGTGTCCCTTACCTGAAACACCTGGTACCAAAGTGTCTCAGATTTCAGACTGTCTTACATTTGGAATACTTGCATCTACGTAATGAAATATCTTGGCGAGGGAATCCAAGTTTACACATGAAACTCATTTATGTTTTCTATATACATTACCCGAATTTTACACCATGTTTTCACTAGTTCTGTGCACAAAACCAAGTTTGTGCATATTAAACATCAGAAAGCAAAGGCGTCACTATATTAGCCACCCAAGGTCAGCACTTGAAAAGTTTAGAATTTTGGGGTACTCTGGATTTTGAATTTCTGGATTAGGGATGCTAAATCTATGCCCACATTCAAAGATATTTGTATTAAAAATATGTGTTATTTAGATGTCCTAATCTAGACAATAATGAACTCCCAGGCCAAATCTATTTTTGTAAATGAAGTTTTGTTGGGATTCAGTCATACACATCCATATACATGGTGTGCATAGAGGCTTTTGTACAGAGCCGGTACTTCCAATAGAAAGGCAAAATATTCACTATCTAGACCTTTACAGAAAGTTCACCTGTCCTAGACCAATGCATGCCAACTAATAATGAAAAGAAAGGATAATGAGCTTTTGTGCTCATTTATGAAGATATATAACATATCTAAAGCATACACCAATAATATTACTATCTTTAAAAATGCAATGATTTAGCTACTTTAGTTTATAAACTTTTAAGAGTGAAAAGAATTAAGCACAGTATTTACAGAAATGGTCAGTATAGCAAATATGTACTTTGTTTTTTTATAAGCTTTTAGAATTACTTCAAAGTTTTAGCAGAGCTGATTTTAATTACTTAACATACAGAACAAATTGCTACTATGCTATAGTTAATTATCAGGAAGGGTAAACTAAAAACCACAATGCAAAATCCGCACTTCCAAAGCAACCTGTGTCTCCATAAGCTCCGCTGCAGGTAAGTGGGAACTGGCTGTATTAAGAAAAAATAATAATAAAATAAAATAAAACAAACTTTTATCTTTTTTAAGAGAAACTGCGTAATATAATTCAACACTATTCCTTCAGCTATCACACACAAATCAATCTTCAGCCAAGAAAAAAAAAAAA